TATGCATATTTCTATACTAAAAATATTCTTTCTTCCATTTAACCAAAATCGATAATGTAATGCAGCTCAACTCTTTACATTAGTTTGAATTTCTATCCTGTATCTATTTACCTGTCTGTAATGTATGTGTTTATAACGCACTTGCTTTTTTTCCGCCTCTATGGAAGAAACACTTTTGTATCAGTTAATAGATAAAATAAATTTTACTTTTTTACCGTAAATATGATAAACGCATAGCTTTTTGTTAATGAAAGTTTAACATTCCATAATGTAGGAGTGACTGTGCTCTATTAAAGTTATTTTGCTTTGAAAGAGAAGGTACTCACTGTGAGGGTAAGGATATCATGCAATTTCTTTTCTTATGGTCCTTATAACAGGTAGTGAATCTTTGATGGAAATGCGTAATACGTTCTGCCTTGCAATGCATACAATTTATAAAAAGTCTAACAGGATAATAAGAAGTTATCCAAAAGGAACTTTTGAAAAGGGAAATTTTAAAATTACAAAATTTAAAGTTGAAAGGTGTATTTGCATCTGGCCTAATTCTCAAGTTGAAGTTTTTCTTTTTAAGAAATATTTATAAAAATAAAATATTTTAAATCATAGTATCATCATAATCTAAGAAATACTTAAATATACACATCACTGTGTAAGGGATAAATGGTTCCTCTTGCAGATTTCTTTTTCTTTTTTCATCTGAAGAAATGATATTGAAATGGATAAGACTTATGAAAGAACATACTGACAGACATAATGAAAGACGCTTCCTAAAAACATATTTCACATATATATTAGCATTAAAGTCAAGTGGGTTATGTTGGAAGGAGAATAGTATTCACTGTTAATATATGAAACTTCAGGAAAATTTGGATTAATGCCTCTTAAATAGTCAAGATTTCTTGGAGGACTAGTGTTTCAGGAAAAAAGGAAAGATTCCTAGAAACAGGGGAAAAAAACAGATTTCTAGATATTAGGGAGTTGATAAATAGAATGTAGTGGAGCTTTGCCCAAATAAATTCTTTCTTAGTAATTCAATTGTAAGAAAGATGAATTGCAGTTAATTTATTGTATCAAAAAATTTGAATGTATATGTTATTTTCTTAGAATTACAGTGACAGGAAGGACAATCTGTCAAAAGATATTTTTTTATCAAAAGATATATTTTAAAAATGATAAATTTGCAAAAAGATTTCATGACTTCTGCAAAAATATTTGGGAAATTCTCACTTTTCTCTCATGTCAATGAATCAATTGTTGAATTGAATTGCTGAATCAAGAGACTCATCTCTATACTTAAAACATTTCAAATGGAAAGAATATTACTGAAGTTTAACTTAAAGAAATCATCCTGTACTAAGCAAATAATTCTTCCTGATATCTTCCTAACATCGTTCAAATGTACTTTTGAAAATTATACTCTTCCTGGAACTATTAAAATAATCAACTAATTCTGATTCTAGTTACAGCTGTCACTTAATCTATTCCTGATAAATTGTCACACTTGTAACTTTGTTCTTTTTCTCAGTTTAAAATTGTACAATGTTAGTGAAATGTTTAGACAAGTAACCTTATGAAGTGTAGGTTAAAATAAATGTAACATTATATAATTTTGTGTTGTCTCTGCAAATACTTTAAAAATAAAAGAGAATAAAATTACTCATTTGACATTTCAAAGCACTGAAATAAGCCTTGATCATACCTATAGTTATCATGAACTCCCACGATCTACCTAGGAAAAAAATCTTTACCTAATAGTTGGAATTCATCATTAACAGTTAAACAGCTTTAGTTTTTTTTTTTTTTTTTTTTTTTTTAAGCACTTTTTTCTCTTACATTCTTCTTTCGGTTGAAACATAATTTTATGATTCACAAAATTCATACACAGATCTACCAAGTTTAGAATATACGTTAGATAAGATATCCTAAAGCTGGGAGAACTGTTGTGTATACAAATGCTATATAATCACATACATGGAAAAGCCTTTATTTTCCCAAATATTTAAAACATTTGTGTAACTGGCACATATGAATTAAAAATTAGAATTTGGGTCTAAATTTTTTGGTCTTCATACAGTTGATTTTTCCTACATGTACACAGATCATATTTGGTTTTTCTTTGGGGGTCATTTTGATTATAGTAGCAATATCTTATATATACATAATAATATTTCATATAAAAATATTCAGGGTCTTCTTCCTTCTGAATTGCAGCAAGCAATTAAGAGATTTCTGAATATAATATATAATATGCCTTAAAAGCCTTAATACTGGCCTCTTCTTTGAGGTAGGTGTTTATTAATGCAATTTCACCTAGTGACAGTTGCATGTCTGTAGTGTCTGTATACCAGCATTAGCACTCTGCAGCTGTATCGTGTGATTTGCATTCAGAGAGAATTGGTCTCTGAGTGTCAGAGAGAATGTATTGAAAAGTGCCCCCCCATATGCTTCTTAGTAGTGATAATAAAACAAGGACAGTAATTAAATGTAGTCAAAGAGTTAAAGCTAGAAATCAAATATGTTTTAGTTTTCCTGCGATATGATACAATCACTATTGCTGCTTAAAAATAATTTAAATTGTTTCTTCATTTGATTTATTATTCTCTGTATAGAGGGATTCCTTTGTATATTTTTGAAAATTTGAAGAGAAAGGTGGAATAGAAACATCTGGATCACAACACAGAATTTTAGGGATGATAAGTGATTCTGTCTGAGCATCTCAGGAAAGAATAATTAGCAAAGTCGGCAAGTCTCATCCTACTGTTACTCCTGGTCAAAGGGATAAGCTGTAGGAGAGTCACAAATTTGATAGGTACAAACACCCATTCAGAAATCACCCCTCTGTTGCTACTTCCTAGGTTCCTCATACTTTCACAGAGCAGCACTTCTTCATTTGAAATATAGTATAACACAAACATCTCATTAGGTCCCATTATTCCTGATGTATTCAGTTCTTCTGCATCACCAAATTGAACTGGTTGTCATTTTCAATGTGTGAAAGTTAAACTGCCTCAGTAGAAAAGACACACAACCCTGAAGTGAGTAGCAGGAAAGACTAAAAAAATACAGCCAAAATATTTTTCAGAAAATGAAATTATTATGGAATGATATATGAGTAATAATGACATGGAATAATGGTACTTTAGGAGTAAAATATGAATTGAGCCTAGTTAGATAGAGACCTTTAGCAAGCTTATTTGGGATTTCAATATGACATTCCTGGATGGGGATGATTTTTTTTCTGAGGTTGATCTTGATTATGAATCCATATAATTTGATGAGATTTATTATAAATATTGAATATTTTTATTTTGATGTATTTAATCAGTATTTAAAGTTATTGATTTGTGGGTAATTTTGCTAATGGAAGATTTCATAAATTAATACAATATGCCCAACACTAGGAGACACTATTATAATTTAAGAATACAGTACCATTTATTTTAATATTTTACTTCTGAAAATAAGTGTTTTGTTATACTTTTCTAAAATTGTTTGGAGAAAAGGGTAATATTTTTCAATTTGTAGTTTCATGGAGTAGAATTTTTAAATTATTTCTGTTTTATCTGGTTACATACATTATGATTTATATATTATCCCTCAATCTTACTTTCTTATAATAATTGTGCAAAAATCCAAATTGGGTTAAAGACAGAAATTCCAAATTTTCTGGTATGCTCTGACATTAAAATATCTGACCAAATTCCCATTCACTATGCAATAAATCCATTCTGCCTTAAAGTATATTCTGAATGTAAAAATGAAAATAGACACGTATATGCAGTCTGAGCTAGAAAAAGGTGCTGATACTGTAATTAATATTGTACCATAATATCTTTTTAATCTATCATGCTGCCTTTTGCCCTTTATGTTATGTCAGAAAGGAGTGTAATGAATGAGTGTGTCTGTGAGTATCAGCTTGAATTTGGTGAAAACCGAGGCAACATGACATTTAATGTGATTAAGCCAGATATAGATTCAAGTTTATTAGCTTTCACACAATCGAATGTAAAACTAATGATGATAAAACTTCAAATATTTTTTAAAGGATGATCTCCCGAATTTATTTTACAGCTCAATTTGTATAAAGGCATTTTATTATATTTAAGAATTAACAGGATTCCCTGACTTGGTAATGTTTCCTAGAAAGGTAATACAACAGTAAAACATCCAGTAAATATCCAGCATTTTAGGTGAAGAATGAAGGATTTATCACTAAGTCAGAAAAGAATTGGCGTAAATCTGACTTGAAGCAGCTGTTTAGAGGGTAAGAGTGCCTTTTCAAGTTCTGAGAATAATTTTTCTTCCTTTTTTGTATCAGAAGGGGGCAGTAGTGGTCCACTTTTAATAACAGCTAGCATTTCTTTTGTTATATGATATTTGATAATAAATAAATATCATTTTCTATTTAATGTTGAGGCATTTGTACAAAAAATTAAGATTGAAAGTATCTATTGTTAGGTTAAAAGTTAAATAATTAAAAGTTTGTGTGCAAATATAATTTTACGCCTCTTTTCTTTTCATCTAAGGATGTGGCTCAAAATTAAGAAGTCCTGCTGTAGCTAAACTAGAGCACCAGTTCTTATTGCTTAATGTTCATGCTAATAATGACGGTTATAGAACAGATTAATTCTCTCTCTCTCTCTCTCTCTCTCTCTCTCTCTCTCTCTCTCTCACACACACACACACACACACACACACAATTTCAGTGAACTATAGTTTAGTCTCTCACCACTCACCAAGCTGGAGTTAGCACCCATGATAAAAGTGCTTTACTATTTATATAGCTTGTCGTATTAGTATTTATTTCCAATATTAATTGTGGCTTAAAATAAATTAATATAAGACATTATCTTATAATTTCCAGGTTGGTTAAGCGAATGGTGCATATGCACACTTAATGGGATGATTACAATTTATATCTCTCCAGATCTCCATTAAAAGATAAGCTGCAAATACAGTGGCTATTCTGCTCATTGGCTGACATCTCTCTATATCCAGATCATCTGCTTAGAACAAATGTGGCTGGACAATGTGATATTCTAATTCCACAGATTGAGTAATTCAAGAATTTCAGAGATGCAACAAGGACGGAATTACTGTCCTCATTCTAGCTTTAGAAGGCAGGCATGCAAGTACCTAGAGAAAGAGAACAGATGAAAGCTGGCAGCCTCTTCATTTACAGACAGTACAATTTTCTGAATTTAGCAAGACTCTTCCTTTCCCCCAAGAACGCTCTATGTAAGTGCTAAGATGTTGAGACATGCATTATGTTTTACATTTTCGTTAAGTTTTGCAGAAAATCATATGGCTAAGTAGTACTTGTATTATAATGTAAAAAGGTGTGAGGAAAAACCCTCCAAAAATGAAATCCACTTGTCAGTTTGAATTTGACATGTTTTATTACATAGTAAAACCTGTCAGCTAAAATTTTAGAGATTTACACCTAAGTTGTGACTGAAAACAGGTAAATGTCCTTTCAAAACAGGTATTTTGAATATATAAATGAAAATTTTGGTAGTTGTGTGCATGTAGAGCTGCTTGTAAAGTGAATTTAAAATTTTTAAGAAATGTTTCTGGCATTTTAAAATTGCTAAGAATAACTTATGAGAATAAGAACTTAGGAAACCTGCTTTTTAACAAAAGTCTACAGTATTATATTTGAATTTTGCCGAGACAGTCAACTCACAATGTCATTAGTACATATTAAAGAGCATACCTTTCCTAGATTTTATAATGCAATTTAAAATACTTATTTAATGATGAAAAAATTTAAGAATGCATTTATATCTGATTGATGTTAATGATAAATAAAACATTATCCCCAACAGTTAAAATGTTTTATAGATATTAAAAGTAATTAACACAGAATTTTTTTTTTCATTAGAATATTAGTTTTTCCTTTAAAGCTGAAGGTATTGTGCTGAGTTTCTGGAACTCTGCAGCTCAGTCTGGAATTATATTTTTCTAGAAAATAAATGTGGTTAGGAGAGAATTTTCTTACTATATTAGGATCTCCCAAATTTTCTTTGATCTGTAATTTTAAAAGGTTGTCATTACTTGGCTCTCTCTTGTATTCTGAATGTGTGTGTGAGAAAGAGATAGATAAAGATAAAGAGACAGAGACAGGGGAAAGAGGGAAAAGGACAAGAAAGAAGGAAGGATAAAAGCAAGAAAAGAGAGAAGCAAAAAATAGGCAAAAAAAAGGATAAGAGGAAGGAAAGAAAAAAGTGGGAATGTCAGAAGGAAGAAGAGAATAAAAGAGGAGAAAAATAATGCCTTGGAGGGGTCTATACATCTTGATGGATTGACATTGCTAGTTTTCTGGTACTAGCTTAGGAACAGTGTGATCCTGGCAGCAGCTTTAAGATAGCACATCTCAACTTTCAGAACAACATGATTTAAAGAAACTGTGTGACTCAGAGGATAGTTTTGGCATTGAGTTTGTGAGAAAAGGAGGCTTTGCTTTTGTATTGCTCTTCAAATATAAGAGAAAATTCTGCTTCTGCCAACATAGATAAAAAAGCTATCCAATTATTACAACGCCAGCTTTCTCTTTACAAATATCAAGTGTAATTAAAGCAAAGAGCTAAATATTATAGAGAAAATAAGATGGAAAATGTTGGCTGTTGGAAATTGGCTTGGTATGGGCTTTGTGGATGGATGGCATTTACTAAATTGTACCAACCCTGCTTTAGGTTTTTAGACAGCATTAAAGGATGAATTGTTGATTTGCCTGTTCTTCAACATGTATCACCTGCTTGAATATTTTTCCCACCTGATAATTTTTCATCAGCCTCTTCTACAGCCAGGCATATTTTGGCTGTGAATAGTCATAGACTAAAAGCTTTCTGTCTTATGTTGTGTGTGTGTGTGTGTGTGTACTCATTTCTTATAGGACTATTCTATACTTGTCTGACCTTTGCCTGAAGGACTGTGGCTAGTGTGTGTGTATGTGTGTGTGCGTGTGCATGCATGCGTGTGTGTGTTTTACTGACATTTTGCTATTACTTAAATTTCTCTGTTTCCCTTTAATGCCTACCTAAATATTTTCTCATCTTACCCTTAAGCAAAATGTCAAATTCTTGGCAGACAAAACATTAGATTTTCTTGAATAAAAGGAAGGCAATATCCATTTCAGCACTTTCTGTCTATTTGACTAGCACTGTGCATCTTTTAGGCCCTCTGTAAATACTGAGCACCCACCTGAAATATTACATGTTAGCCAACAGCAGCAGAGACTCTGTGTGCATGTGTGTGTGTGTGTGTGTGTGTGTGTGTGTGTGCACGTGCACGCACTGATTAGCGGCTGTGACCTTTTCTTTTCTTATACATTCCCACATGGTGTCTCCACTTTTTTATACTTCTAAGTACCTAATAAGAAAGTGGAATTAGAGAGGAATTTGAAGACACTACACTGTTGGCTTGAGGATAGAGGAAGGGACCCCAGCTAGGGGATGAGGAGGCCTCTAGAAGCTGGACAAGGCCTAGAAACAGGTTCTTCTCAGAGTCTCTGAGGGAATGCAACCTTGTGGACCCAGTTTAGATTCTGACCTCCAGAACAGTCATCTGTTTGTATTACTTTAAGCCATTAAGTTTGCTGTAATTTGTTAGAACAGTCATAGGAAACAGCCCTCTCTGACCTCTGCTTCTGTGCTTACATTTCTCTCTGACTCTGGCACTCCCGCCTCCCGCCTTCATGTCTACATGGCTCCCCTGACTCCCAGGTCATCCAGGATCATTCTCTATCTCAAGATCCTTAACTCAATCCCATCTTCAAGGTCCCTTTTGCCATATAAGGTACAATGTTCACAGGTTCCAGGGACTAGGATATGAATGTTTTGGGGACATTGTTCTGCCTACCACAGACACCTCCCAGGTTGTAAAACACATCAGCAGTGAATTCTCAAGCTTGGCTCTAGGAGCAGCCCTAGAGCAAGAGTAGGTGGCTATTGGTCTGAGGGACCCAGGCCTGCCTGTGGTTTCTGCAGAGCTGTGTAGCTCAGCAGGTTTCCATGCTTGGAAGGGAGTTTGACCACCTGCTCTATGAGACATGGTGCTCCAGATCACTGTGCAGGTTTCTTAGCTGTCTGCAGGAACCAACTAATGGATAGAGTTTTCTCTGGACAAAATTTTAAATCCCATATTTTCGGAAATCTTTGGGGTTTGTTTTGCTGTCACTTCTTTTTGGTAAATGACAGAAAGAATGGTTTGTACTTAATAAACAGGAACTAAAGATATTAAAAAAGAGCTGTGGTAGGTGTGATACGATCCCTATTCTTGCAAGGCATTTGTATATCCATCCATACCCTGATTTATTCCGGCATGGGGAGATGCTTAGAATACTGTACAGTGAATGTCAATGATATATGGCAATGGACTTATTTGAGAATATGTGACTTTCTTCTTCGCATTTTTCTTTTTAACTGTGTTTTAGAACAAGCATTGTTTTTATTTTTATAGAAACAATAAAATTATTAGTTAAAAAAGAAAACAGAGTGAGGCAATCCTGAAAATTGTATAAAACTACATATAAGTACTGAAATGAAGACTTCCTGAAAGACATAGATTGAATTAAAAAGAAGAAACGTCATGGACAGTATGTGTAGTACAGTAGTACACTTACCTAAGGAGGACACATTCCAAGGTGCCAGTGGGTACTTAAAACTGTGGACGGTACCAACCTCATATATATTATGTTTTACGATCTGAAAACTGAGACCATCACATATGCAGTCTGTCAGTGACTGAAATGTTGTTAGGAGTGCATGACTCTACTTCCTCTTCCCCTATTTTTTATTACTCGGTAGTCATAAAATCAAATAATTCATGAATGATTCAACTAGATGTTATTTTACATTTATAGGAATTATGTTGTTTTATCAGACAAAAAGGAATTGAGAATAAAATAGTAATAATCATTTATTAGAAAAACATGCTATTTTGCAGGTTTTAAGTAAATATAATAAATATGAACTTAATTTTTCAAGGTAATTTTATATGAATGTATATAACTAGAATTAAATATTTGCCTGTATCTGAATATTAATACATAAGTCATAATATTCCTGTAGTAAATGCTCAAGACATTATTTCCATTAGATGGGAATAAAAAGCTGAATATGATTATTTTTAAAATGTAAAAATACTAGGGGGAAACCAGGTAGTAAGAACATAGAATTGTATTGATAGAGCTTACAGAGGTAGCAAGAGATGGTTTATTTACAATTTGGTGGATAAGAACAAAATGAGGTTTTGGAAAATTATCTTGGCCAACAATTTCTTGTTCATATGCTTTAAAATCTATTGTGTAAATCTAGCCATATTTGATTTCTCGAAGGTGTCTTTAAAATTCACTTATGCTAAATGCTTCTATTATTGTACCTTCTTCTATTTGCCCTCGTAACTTCCCATGCCCTTCAACAAGCATCCACAAAATAAACCCCCAAAAGACAGGCAATATCCCTTGCCTGGACTCATTTTCACATAGGAAATCATAACCAACTCATTGTTTTCTGTTTCAGAATTTCTTACAAAGATACATTCATTGTGTAAATTGTGGCTTCATGATTTTGAACCTAAGACAAAAAGCAACTTTCAATTCCTGATTATAGCTTCTCAAAATACACAGTATAATTAATGTTGAAAGAGCAATTATATTCTAAGTCCTTGTTTCACACCCATTCAAACTTTCTCTTGCCTTTAACTTTTGGAATTTTAGTCACATTTTCAGAACAAAGGTGAATATTGGGGGAAACAGTGATAAATAAAGGGCAGATATGTCATAATTATTTTAATGTATATGAGACTGTTTCAGTCATATTATATTTATTTTCAACATATACAAATTCTCAGTTTCACTGCTAACTTCTCAAGCACTCTGTTTATCTAAAAAGTTTTCCTTCACCCAAACCTCCCCTCTCCGTATTGGTGTATACAGGTTATTTCCTTATATGCACTGTCACACATTATTTGACTGCCTACTTAGTCTGGGTCCCTCCTCTTGGAAAATTAGTTCTGTTAAGACACAAAATAGACAGTCAAAATATATGTATTGAATGACTAAATGAATAAAGAAATTATTCTATTTCAGACTTAAAAAAAGTTAAGGTAGATACAAAACAAATTAGGGTATTTGATAATGATTTTCAAATAAAAAAAAGTATCAACCACAGACAGGCCAAATATTTTTCTCAACTTCTTTTGCTTCAAAAATATTTAGGGCAAAGTTTATTTTGAAA